TAGTTTGCAGACAAGGATTTTAGCATTTGACTTCAAAATGGCCGACAGGAAGTAGGTTTCGAGTTAAAATTTTTTCATCCACATCTATAGGCACTCATAAGTTATTCCTGAAAATTAGAAGGTGATACCTGTAGCGGTTTTGGAGAAAACTGCCGGATGTACGGACGGAGACAGACAGACAACCAGACAGACGGACGGACGCGCCTAGGACGACAATATGGCCCCAAACTATGTGGTGGGGACATAACAAACAAATAATTCAAGAATCTGAATTCACACAGTATTGAAATTTTAAGACCCTGGTCTATATCATAATTTCAAGTTGGCAGTTGAGTGAAACCTATTAATAGTATCATAAGGAATAGCAAGGCAAAACCTTTGAAAACCCTTACAAAAATCATTTTTACTAAAAAAATCTTTTGCAATGTGTAAAAAGAATTTAATCGCATGATTCAATGAATTTTGAATGATTTAAGAGATGTTTAACTAACTTCTCAGTGACATTTTATTTATTCCTTTTTATTTTGACCACAACATTTATGCATAATTCAAAAGTTTGTGTGGGTACCTATTTTGGTAGGGTAAAGAATTTGATATGCAATATTGTGCCAAGGGTAGGAGTCCCGGGAGTGAGGAATTTGATTTGCATGTGCCCGGGAGTGGGGATTTTTGAATGGATTTGTTTTGTCCAGTATACACTTTAGGAAACTCATGATTTGCAAATGATTGGTAAATTCAGTGAACTAAAGATCTTTTATGTTGAGAACAGATGCAAAACTAGAAAAACAGCAACTCCACGGAGTAGCAAATCCAAATGAACAAATATGTTTTGATAAATAGCAGCCATATAAAAGGACGATTCTCGGTTTGGAGAACGAAGTTCTTCAATCTAAATGAGCATTATCCCTGCTTCAGACAAATTTGATTTTTTTTACATAATATAGATTTGAATGTCTTCTTTAGAATAGTCATAATTTAATTTTGTAATTTTTTTAGATTTTTCGCAAAAAAATATTAGCGCAGTACACTGATGAACTTCTTTCCCCAAAATCAAGACTTGTATTTTATTGAATCAGTCTAATTGAGCATTATCCCTGCTTGAGACCAATTTGTTATTTTTACATCTTGTAGATTTAAATGTCCTCTTTTGAATATTCATAGTTTAATTTGGGTAATATTTCTATATTTTTCATGAAAAAAATTATTAGCCCAGGAGACTGTTCTCCAAACCGAGAATCGTCCTTTGAGCCAAATCCATCCACTTGTATTTGAATTATCAAAGATTATGTTTTTATGAAACATGGTTGCCATTTTGATCTTTAGATTGGTCATCTTTAGAAGGCATCAGCATATACAGTTTAATTTAAATCCGTCAACTGGTACTTGAGTTATCAAGGATTACAAGGAAAAATGGCGGAGATTTCGATAAATAGCAGCCAACTTGTATATTTCTTCTAAAGCAGAGCTCCTTTATCTCTAGGCATCAGTATTATCAAAGATTAACATTTTTATGAAAAATGGCAGCCATTTTGAAATTCAGCTGACGCCTTTGAAATTTCTTCTGAAGCAGATCTCCTTTTTCCCTAAACATCAGCATATAAAATTGGAACCAAATCTATTCACTGGTATTTGAGTTATCAATGATTACATGTTTTACGAAAAATGGCGGCCATTTTGAAATTTGAACCAAATCCGTCAACTGGTATTTGAGTTATCAAAATGGTGGCCATTTTGAAATTTAGCTGCCATCTTGAAAATCCCTTCTCGAGCAGAGCTCTTATGTCCCTAGGCATCAGCATGTAAAATTTGAACCAAATCCATTCAATGGTATTTGAGTTATCAAAGATAACGTTTTTTTAGGAAAAAAATTGCACTTCCGCTTTCTCCTTGTATTAATTGCATTGTCATCATTCGATATAGATGAATAAAATGGAGCGAGGTAATCCAATAATGTAATAGCCAAAAGTGTCATTGCACAAATTACAATGTAGCACACTTTCTAAAACTAGTTTGATGTGGATTTGTACCCATCAAACTCAACAATATGCCTTCCCATTCCATAAACAAGGCACAGGACGTGAACGAGATCACACCATCAAATAGGCAGACACTATGAACCAGGAAAACTGTTCTCCTATTATGTTCACAAATTTCAAGAACAAGAAAACAAGTTGGCCGCCCAAAAGTTAATCAGCTCTAGTACTTGATATCCTCTATCATTTGTGTAAATTTGAAGGAAATCCGATGAGCGGTTTTCCTGAAATGGCGATGACAAGATTTTTCGAAAAACCTTCAAAATGGCCACCAGAAAACAAGATGGCCACCCAAAAGTTAATCAGCTCTAGTACTTGATATCCTCTATCATGTGTGTAAATTTGAAGGAAATTCGATGAGCGGATTTTCTAAAATGGCGATGATAAGATTTTTTGAAAAATCTTCAAAATGGCTGCCAGAAAACAAGATGGCCACCCAAAAGTTAATCAGCTCTAGTACTTGATATCCTCTATCATTTGTGTAAATTTGAAGGAAATCCGATGAGCGGTTTTCCTAAAATGGCGATGACAAGATTTTTCAAAAACCTTCAAAATGGCCACCAGAAAACAAGATGGCCGCCCAAAAGTTAATCAGCTCTAGTACTTGATATCCTCTATCATGTGTGTAAATTTGAAGGAAATCCGATGAGCGGATTTTCTGAAATGGCGATGATAAGATTTTTCGAAAAATCTTCAAAATGGCTGCCAGAAAACAAGATGGCCGCCCAAAAGTTAATCAGCTCTAGTACATGATATCCTCTATCATTTGTGTAAATTTGAAGGAAATTCGATGAGCGGTTTTCCTGAAATGGCGATGACAAGATTTTTCGAAACACCTTCAAAATGGCCACCAGAAAACAAGATGGCCGCCCAAAAGTTAATCAGCTCTAGTACTTGATTTCCTCTATCATGTGTGTAAATTTGAAGGAAATCCGATGAGCGGATTTTCTGAAATGGCGATGACAAGATTTTTCGAAAAATCTTCAAAATGGCTGCCAGAAAACAAGATGGCCGCCCAAAAGTTAATCAGCTCTAGTACTTCATATGCTCTATCATCTCTGCGAATTTGGAGAAAATCTGATGAGCAGTTTTCCTTAAACGGCGATGACAAAAGCGGGATGATCACGATCACGACCACGACCACGATCACGATCATGACCACGATCACGATCACGACCACGATCACGACCAGTATGACGACTATATCCCACCGATGGTGTGATAAAAATGATTGTACATACAGCTATATTCTCCACTTTTGTTGAACAGATACAAATTCCAATAAAAGCAAAAGTAAAACCATGCCTCTACACGGCTCATTTTTGTCATAACTATGAGGTGATTTGAACTGATATTCTACTTGTAGACATCATGTTGAAAATGTCATTAGAATGGGCTGTATTCTCATTGGCTTTTAATTACGCGGGTAATTTTTGTCATTTAAAAATGCCGCTTCTCTATTTCAAATTACATCGGATCCCGTACAAGATTGTATGGAGCTCGTTGAGTCAATGGGCCCTTGTGATTTGTCTTTGACCTATGACTGCTGACCTATACCGCCGATTACTAGAGTGCTGCTAACTCGATAAAAGGCTGGCACTGGCTAGAATTGTCTATGGTTCTAGCCAGGATAAAGATACCAGTTCTTCAACTCGACAATGGGAAGAACTGCTCTACCTTAGTGACTAATATGTCATGATATGACATCTAAAAGAGTCAATAAAAGATATATACAACCTTGTACGGGCCTTGTTATGAGTCTCTTAATTGCTTGCAATTTTCTAGCCTCGTAAGATTACAAGGCCTGTAATAGCTCGTAATTTTTGACTTTGACCGTATGGTGCCCGTTACGAGCCCCGTAATAAATCATAATTCTCGATCCCCGCCCGTACTTGCGGTACAGTGCCTGTTACGAGGCCCATAATAGCTCATAATTTTCGAGCCTTGTACTTGCCTGTGTGATGCCCGTAACAAAGTCAGTAATGGCTCGTAATTTTCAAGGACTGTACTTGCCCGTGGGCTCGTTTATTTTGATGAGCACTTTTTTTGATTGATGAAATAAAATACAGCATACTTGAGAAATTACATTTTAATTACATCTAATTATGAATTATTATGTCTCCAATAATCTCAAAATATTTACATGTCTGTATCAAGATGATAAACAGTATAAAAGCTAGGAAACAAAATAAACAGGAGGGTTACCAATATAGGAGACATCATATTTCCCTACAAGTAAATGCATATAAAAACATTTGCGTGCGATATTGAATTGAGTTGAAATGTGATGTAGATAAATATTATAGCATCGAATGCATGAAAAATGTTTGAAATGATTAAACATACATAGCATGCTGAGCCAGATAGATACGTGAATGATGTAGCATGACATTTTTTGTGCCGAAAAAGAATCCAATTACGGGCCTCGCATGAGCTTGTACAGGCCTCGAAATTAGGAGCCTCGTACATGTTTGTACGGGCCTCGAAAACAACAATTACGATCATTGTACGAGCTCGTACAGGCCTCGACAATGAGCTCCGTACGAGCCAGTACGAGGATCATGCTCCTTTTTAACCGTAATGACTTGTAATTCTCGAGGCTCGTATGAGCTTGTATGGGGCCTGGTGTAATTTGCATGTGTACACATGATCTCAACATGCATGAACATTAGCCTACAAGCCAGTAAATATTTAATAAAAAGAGTAAATTCAAGGTAGGGGCTAGGGGGGTCCGGAATATTTGACCAGATTTATTGCCCCCAGGGTGGGGAAATTGACACATTTATTTCTCCAAGACTTCAATTCTTAAAATAAAACTCAAAAGTAAAATGACTTAATTTGAAAAATAAATGTAGCAGCACAATTTTCTTGAAATTGACAGAAATAATGAGTATTATGGTAAGATAAATTGTTTGAATCTTTCTGAAAAGTGTAACTAGCATTTTTCTAAAAAGTGTAACATCCTACCTTCACTTGAATTTGATTGACAGCATATGTTACACTGTCATCATATGCATATTTGTCTAGAGCAAACTTCAGTTGGTTCTTGGCACTTTTACCAACCTAAACAATGACAATGTTAAAAGCAATTAGTTAGCATGCATCTAACCAAACAATGTTAGTGGGGAATCCTCCTTAATAAGCAACAAGATGGTTTCAAAAATGGGAACTTATTGCCAGGGATATATCATACAAGCATTAGTTAATAAACATAAACACTCTAGTAGAGAGCCTTTATATTCTGGGCACAATGGAATATGCAAATGTACATGTACAGCAAACACACTCAAAACATGCTTTAATTCCTGAAAAGAAAATTTCCATAAGTCTTCTAAGCTGTGTTAACAATTCTAATAGCAAAAGTTTCAAGCATTATGTATCTATCCAAAACAGATTGAGAGGTTATCTCTAGGACTCTAACGGTGCACTGTAACTGTGGTGTTGCACAATTCTTAGGCCTCAGACGTTACATTCGGTTCAAAAACTCTATGGTTACGTTTTTTTAATGGTTTGTTAATTAAAAAGATTGCTGTTCGCAAAAATACTGACATTCGCTAAAGTGAAGTGAAAAATGAATGGCATCAAACGGAGAGAAGGACTCTGTATTACTGGTGCTTCTTAATTGTAAAAAGCTCAATTTTGGTGTTATCTTGGCTTTTACTGTCCCGAGCGCAGAAAAAATAATATGCAGGTTATGTAAAGGTGGTCTGATACATGAGAAAGGTATGTCTGGAAAATGAAATTTTTCAAGATGAAGTGTCAGTTTGAGTTACCATTTTTTCATTAAAGTTCAATAATAATCAAATAACTGAACCGAGACCGAACTAAAAAGATAAAAATGGTGAACCAAACAGAAATGAGAAATTATGAAACCGTTAGAGCACTAGTCCTTTCATCCTGAATGGAGTCAGCACTATCTGTTATGCATTGTTAATACAGCCATGCCTATCTTCTGTCAGCTCATGGTTGTGCATGTATTAAGTAATGCTGAGCAGCAGGTACCTTCTGCTGTAGGCTGTCAACTGCTTTAGTCACCTCATCACGCTTCTCATACTTCTCAATGGCAAAGTGAAGCTGATTGGTCGTTAATTCAGAGTTCGCAATCTATAATATTACAAAATTCAGCAAGTTTTAGGCCAGCAGAATAGAAGTCTGAAAATGAAACATGAAAGGTAAAATGACAAAATTAACGAGGTACCATTGTAATGTTAAACACCCATTTAGATAATAACCACTTAAATAAGAAAGTCAATAAAATAATAATACACAAGGCATTAACACCACCTTGTTGCTCACAATATTATGAGTTCATATGAAGGTGGAATCTCAAATCTAAAGTCAGATTTGAACTTCTGAGAACTGGTAGATGATTTTAAAAAAGAATTGGTCAATTTGAAGATGATTTTGAAAAAAGGTCAATTAGAAGCAAGTTGAAAAAATACCATTTTGACCTTTTTTACCTTGAGAAGGTCATTGAAGGTCAAATTTCAAATCTAAAGTCAGATTTGAACTTCTGATAACTTGTAGATGATTTGAAAAAAAATCTTCAATTAGAAGCAAGTTGAAAAATACCTTTTTGGCCTTTTTGACCTTGAAAAGTTCATTAACCTTTACCATGCTGCCTTATTTCAGCAAATATATCCCAAGCCACTGGCTTATTTTTCAAAGAGTGCAAAAAATGATATGCCTGGACTAAATAATAAATATCTCAATAATTACTGAATGAATCTGGATAAAATTTTCACAAAGGGAAGATACAGTGGCCTGGCCCATGAAAATAATGTTCTCATGAATTTTCATGGCGCGAAACCATAGATACCAAGAACAAAAGAAGTGTCTGATGTCTTTTCTAAAACAATATTGAGAAAAATATATAAAACTTTTTCAAATTAAACTTTTACCATTTAAAAGATGATCATTAGATTGACGATGTGTAAAATTTTCAGAAATATTTTGATGCCTGGTTCAAGAGAAACATGTGTTCAATTCAGCTTGCCATATTGACACCAATCCTTTGTTTGCATTATTCATTCTTAACCCCCCCCCAAAAAAAAACCTGTCTAACTACAGTAAAGCTTGTAAAGTAGAACATCTCCAGAAGTAGAACACCGCAATGTGTGGTTTTGTATTTACTTAATGTCAAACAAACCTACAGTATTTAAAAGAAACACCTCCAAGTGAAACACATTTGAGATAGCAAAGGTGTTTGATATTCACAAGTTTTACTGTTCTACTCACCTCCTCTCTGTAGACAAAGGCTAAGATACCAACAATGACTTGGATGATCAGCACAATGATGATGATCCCCAGGAACTGAAACAAAAACATAGATTCTAACAGAATAATTTCTCGCGAATATAAATTTCAACAGAAGCAATAGAATGGCAATCAAGTAATCGGGTAGCATGGCATACTAAACAGGTTTCATCGGAAATATGATGACCTTCTCTGGTCACAGATGGTACTAATAAGTCATAATTACTCTATTCAGTACAAATTTTAATAGACTAATATGCCATGCTATGAGATCTAAAGATCCCTGGTTACTGTGATTGATGGTTATGCCAAATTATGTTACTGCTTTGGAAGAGTAACATTATTGCACATATTGATTGGATTCCTTGGTTTAGATTGTGAGGTACTAGTATTCATATCACCTAGTTTATTACAGGCAACCAACAGAAGGGCCTCTATTATATTAAGCTTGAATGTCCCATAAAGAACAAACTAAATTGATGTAAATATGTAAGCACAACTCTAAATGTTAAACATAATGTAGAAGGGAAGAATCATAAGAGCTATAAATAATTGCAATATTGAAGGTGAGAGATCAAGGCCAAGAACTAGGTCAAGATTTCTTTTTTGGATTATGGCACTATCCCTCTATATTCTTAACTAATGGTATTATATGGACAATATAAAGTATGTAAGCCCTTTGCCATCAGATAAAGTGTCCTTAAAATTATGTTTCAAGTTTTTCAAAATGAAGATCTTGCATACAACAAGAACAACATTGAAATCACAGTTTCATAAAAAATCTCAGGCATGGTTAGAAACTAGATGATGGCAACTCCGCGGAGTAGCAAATCCCAACGAACAAAATATCAATTACCGAATTCCAATCAATTATACTCATTACTTTGGTTAAAATTGAAAAAATTTAGATTTTAGAATTGCGAATTCCTGCAAAGCAGCCATTTAGAATTTTCTGAGGTACAAATCTGAAAAATAATACCATAATTGTGATCTACTCCAAAATTCCTTCAATTTGAGTATTATACAGCCATAAGTTGAAGGGATCGAAAAATTATTGCGAAATCGTACATTAGACGGCCATTTTGAATTTTACGAGGCTCGAATCAGAAAAAAGATACAATATTTGCAATCTACTCTTAATTACCTTTCATTTGAGTATAATAAAGCTATACTTCAGAAAGATCTAAAAATTAGCGAAATTTTCTGTTTTCCTGACACCCCATACACGGCCCCTGAAGGTCAGGATGAAAAACACTGAATATATGTGAAATAGATAGATGTTGCGAATATACTACCAAAATTTCAAACAATAATATTAATTACTTTGGTTTAGAATGAAAAATTTATGATTTTTGCGAAAAAGTCCCGTCATTTTTAAAGCAGTGGCCATCTTGAAAAAATCCATTTTGAATTTTCTGAGGTACAAATCTGAAAAGTATTACCATAATTGTGATCTACTCCAAAATTCCTTCAATTTGAGTATTATATAGCCATACTTTGAAGGGATCGAAAAATTATTGCGAAATCGTACATTAGACGGCCATTTTGAATTTTACGAGGCTCGAATCAGAAAAAAGATACAATATTTGCAATCTACTCTTATTTGCCTTTCATTTGAGTATAATAAAGCTATACGTCAGAAAGATCTAAAAATTAGCGAAAATTTCTGTTTTCCTGACCCCCCATACACGGCCCCTGGGGGTCAGGATGAAAAACACTGAATATATGTGAAATAGATAGATGTTGCGAATATACTACCAAAATTTCAAACAATAATATTAATTACTTTGGTTTAGAATGAAAATTTTATGATTTTTGCGAAAAAGTCCCGTCATTTTTTAAGCGGCGGCCATCTTGAAAAAATCTTGCGTAAAACTATTTATCAATATACATCTTTCCACTAAATATGAAGAAAATCTGTCAACTAATATTTGAGTTATCTTCCGGACGGACATCTTGTAATATATAGATACACTGTCCCACATGTTTTGTTAAAGAGCAACTGAAGGGTACAATCTTTCCACAAAGATAAATTCAGACCAACATTTGGATATCTACATCATATAGGTAGATTATAATTGATTTTATTTACTTGTCATATCCAGTATTTAATACATTATAGGTTTAAACCCATATTAATATTGAAGTCATATTTGGTAAGTCAGACGGACGGACGTCATTTGTTTTTGCTGCATTGGTTTCTCGGACTGACGGACTGACGGACGGACGGAGGGCTTCACTATATCCCTACCGAACTTCGTTCGTTGGGATAACTAACAGTTGCCTGACAGTCAATGGCAACAAGTTTGAGCTCTTAGCAGTTCACTTATATTAGTCATGAACCCTGATCTTAGGACAGTATCTTTTTTATCAACCACATCCCATGAGACATCCTTCAACAAACCAGAAAACCATAAAAAGAGCTAGGAATGATGTATACTATACATGTATATTTATGGAACTGAAGCCCAAAGAAAATACAGTAAAACCTGTATAATCCAAACACCATTGGGACTGGCTAAAAGCATTTGGATTAGGAGGTGTTCATATTTCGAGGTTTTTGCACTCATAAGATTCTAGATTTTGAGGAAATGTGAACTCAATAAATATTTATAGCTCTATTGACTATTGATTTTTTTCTTGGCCGTAGTAGGAATTTTCTATTCTTTCAGATATTCATCCACATTTATGTTCTCGAATCTTTGATTATTAACAGGGATAAGTTATCCCTTCCCTTGTTTAAAACAGGTAGCGATTGTCTGCATTTATTTTCCATTGCTATTTACAGTAATTATGCGAACAGTACAAAAATGCACCAACATGCAAACGATAATTATGACATAGCGGGCAGATATAGTATATCTGCCTGCTCAGAGCGGGACAAAAAGCTATATCTGCCCGCTGATGAAAATTTAAGTTTTTACAAACCTGAAACACATCCAAGTATGAGATAAATATATGTATTCCATACCGGGAATTCACGTCATAACTATTTCCACACTGAACTAAACAAAAGACAAAAATGGCAGACGAACGAACAGAGCAAAATGTAAGATTTGAAACAAATGATGTTGATAATATAAAACACTGCAAATGAGCATACAACAAAAAAATGTGTTTACATATCAGAATAAGCTAACTTTTATGTGAGAAATACACATAAAATATTTAGAAATGATTACTGGTATATATTTTGCAAGTTAATACACCAGAGCATATTATGCTTAGGCCTATTATTTCAAACCTCATCAGGTATGGAATACAAGTTATGCACGGTCAGTTTGAATACAGGGAATATCCCTTGCTACATACAACATAAGACATATTGTATATCCCTCAGGATATTTCCTGTATCCAAAACCTCCCAGTGCATAACCCCTATTTATCCCAATACATGTCACATTGGCGGGAGGAAAAAGTGATATCTGAGTGTCTTGAATTAACTCATATTGATAACTTGAGGGAATCAAAACCCTGATATCCCAAACTATGATGTAACACACAAGAATATAAATTCTTATACCCTCCATCACTGAAGTTCACTGAAACCATTACATTATGTTTTACCTATATGCGTATTTACATTCCTGGCAGAGACTACCCTTAGTGAATTGTTGAGTACATTTTTTTCTGTTTTAAATCAACAGGGATCAACAGCATCCAGCTTTCTTAGGGAATGTATCAATATTTATTTGTACCATAAAATTGTAAATTATCACATCAGTGGAGTGAGCGTGGACTCCTCTCATTCACTCGACATAAATCAATGTCAACAAAATATAAAAGATATGAGATTAAGTTTTATCTATCAGATCTGATATTTTGCTATATCGGGTGTACCGAAAAAGTGAACTGCTTTTTGACAATTTCTTTTAGCAATGGATTAACCAAATTCATTCAAAATTTGTACAAAGTGGCCTAAGAGCAAGTCTGGTGAATATAAAAGAAATCCATTACATATTATGCCAGTACCAGTACCTTAAATTAAGCGTGACAGTTGAATGCCTGGGGTATGGTACAACACAAGGGTGATGAAATGTGAGCAAACTGACGTTTTCATTGTTTCAGATAGATCTGGTCCAATTTCTAGATATTTTTAGGTCTGTAACAATATCCTAGACAGTGAACTTGACTGTAAATTTCATCCTTAAACCTAAACAACTCCGAATGTAGTATACGGTATAACGCATGGGTAAGGTATGGTTTAACACAATTTCAATTCCTTGTGTTGTACCCAACTGTTACTGCATGTTATACCATATACTACATTCCGAGTTTGTGTAGGCTTAACTATGAAATCAAGCATCAAGTTCACTGTCTAGGATGTTGTTACAGACATTTACGTATAAAAATATTTAGACACTAGACCACATCTTTCTGAAACAATTCCTGGAATTACAACATGCATTTTAGAAAGTCGCCTAAGGTTTTAACCTGGTTTGAAAAATAGGTGTAATCACTATTGCAGTTTTACAAAAGTGCTTTTCCAAAACTCATAGAACCCCAAGACATCTTGGAATGCCGCGTGTATTGTAAATAATTTACAGGGCTCGTGTGTATACCTGTACATGTTATTTTCTGGTATAAAATAAAGTATATAGACATATGTGTATTTCCTTGCTTTTTTCAGGAAAGCATCATTTTATTGTCTTCTTCTAGTAAACATGGTTAGAGGTCAATGGTAACTCCAGAAAATGCTGATATTTTTTCAATTTCTTCTCCAAGTTCCTCAACAAAAAAACGCCTTGAATTGTTATTTCTGAATATGATTTTAAAAAGTGAAACTGAAAGTGAAGCTGCCATCATCAGACATTGCATCATTTTTTAATGTTCTGTCCCATCCCGAAAGTACCGTGTCCCGAGACTATTTGTACCATTCCGTATCGTTCCGAAATTTTTTTGAACCGTGACACCTCTAATAATAATGCTTCTGTCATCATATTTATGCCAGCTATCAGGCATCTTATCTAGCTTTTGGGTCTCAGGTCTATTGATTTGTTTCGTTGTTGTATGTCCAAAATAGCATGGGTGGAAGGTGGATCGTAAAGCAATTAAGG